ATCAAAAGTAAGAAAAAGAAAGTAACTTTAGGCGACCATTAGTCAACATGAGTTCGCTGTCATACTTTTTTGGAGAGCCCATAAGGGGTCAGTTGCGATAAATATATTCAGAACGACCAAGACAAAGAACACCATCGTCAACTGAAAAATAATTAAAGCATGCCCTTCATGTAAGAACAAGAGCCCATTTGCTAGATGAAAACATTATTATAAACACACGAATTGATAGAGAGCTAACCTACTGCGATGAACGAGAGAGACGCGTTCAGCTAACCTAAAATCATCGCATAATGGAGGAGTGGGATTTGGTTCGGATTTGTTTTGTTTTTTTGGTTACTTTTACTATTCTTTGAGTTCATGATTGAATCCTTTACGATCCATGTAAAATCGATAATGTTTAGTGGACAAAATAGACAGCACCATAATAATTATATTTTGGTTTGGCGTTGGACGTATCATATGGGGGGAGGAATATCCAGTCGTCCTTTGCGTGTACGTTGAGTGGTGGAAGGTGACGAAGACTCTATTAGTATGTTAAAAAACAGAAGGTGGGTCCGATTAATATTCATATTGGGAACCTGCTTGAGGTGGGACCTATCATACCCCCTGAATTGTTAGGGCTTTTCTAGAGTTCTAACCCCGGTTTATCTACTTAGGTGGTACCATAGCTTACTCTATTTTGATATTTTCGGACATTTATTACATAATGTTTATCGATATGAAATTTTATTACGGCCGGCATAAGATTTACATGAAGCCGTGTTGTGCCGCACTGTGTCGAAACATATGCATTTGGCGACACATCTTTTAAAATGCTCTGATGTGGCTATGAATGATTAATGCGTTTGGCAAAAGTAGCTACGATATGGTTATCCAAATGATGATAAAGACCAATAGCATTGCGAGGGTCCTACAGCTGCGAGATTTTTATCAAACACCTAGAAAAGTCAAAGCACCCCATTTCACAACTATAGTAGCTATATAAAAGTCGCATCAAACACACACATAACTTATTATAAGATTACCATCATAGCAAATGCTCACAAATAAAGAGATGTAAGAGACCATCAATGGAAAATTTTGTAATCGAGTTACTTTCCAAATCAACAATCTAACGGGAGCTGTTTTACCCCAACAATATCAAAACACGGGTTGTTTAAATGAATAAAACACGAGCACGGAATGTATAACTTGTTTAAAGAACATGTAACAGAATTTTATCACATCTCTCATTGATTATCTTGAGGAAAAGTCTCTTGGCATCAAGGCCCCAAAAAAAGAGAAGAAAAACAGACAAGTTTCTTAGAATCAATCATTGATTTCGTCAAGCTCACTTCCATGCTTTGTTGGTTCACGCAAAGGAAAAGGCAAGGGTAAGGATAAAGGGTTTTAGGGTTTCGCTTTTTGGCTCTTTTGCTTGTACACTCCATTCACCTTTGCGTGGCACAAGGCTAATGCATTCATTTCCATTGCAACTGTAAAGTCAGGGTTTCGCAGATTGGGAAGAGGTAGAAGACGGCAAAACGGAAGCAAACACTAGTGGTGGTGGGTCTTATTCCTTGCGACCCCGTCGTTTCTCGGGTCCCCCTATCACCATCCTCCTTTTTCTTTTCTTCTTATATAATAATGGGACTATCATAAGGTGGATTTCAGAAAAAAATAAGATATAAACCAATAAAAAACATAAGGAATTTAGAAAAGGTCTCTTGGAAATTGGATTGGCGAAATACTTGCATAGTCTTTTTTTCCCCTTTGTGCACGTCACAAAGAGCCTAAAGGTTCTTTATGCCCCCGCAATGTAGAATGTGGGATTCCTACGAAATTCACATGAATTTTGATTCCTACGCTCGGCCTACAATCTTTAATACCAAAGTATGGAAAGCAATTTCGTCCCGTGACATGGGTCCTCTTTTGACATATTGCGAAGGTTGCGTCTGGTGAAGTGGATGAAACCTCAAGAAAAGAGATCAACGGGAGTTTTCTTCGAAACTTCCCCTCCTAATGATACTTTAAAGCCCTCGCCTGAGGACGGATATTTTATAAATCAGATTGACAAGTAACGCGGAGAACAAGTTCAGCATGACGCGAGAAACACGTGGAAATTCTCTTTTTTAACAAAATTGATACGAGCCTTAGAGTGTTAGATACGATTTGTTTGATCTAATAAAACTAGTCACTAGAATATGTTAGCGGGATGAATGTGTACAATCAACTTGAATAAGTAATGAAACAACAGAGAAGGCCAATCGAGCTGACGGAAGACGGCTTTATCTTTTAAGAGGGAGACTCGTCCATCACGCGAAGCCGTTCCATTCCTTCTTTCGTCACATTTAGTTTGCTTTGGGTAAATAATCACACCCAAATTAGTATATTTCCTAGGGTTTTCTATATCTCTAGATACAGCTAAGTTCCACAAATAGCTTATGCTCATCGCCCACGCCCACTGTCCAATCCAGCACGGCCCCTATACTTACTTTAAAGATTCGTTTGGCTCTAACCCAAGCAATTAGAAAGGCATGCCTTTAATTTAGAGCAAAAGACGTCACTAGTTGATGATAACTACGATTATCATCCACTCTCTCTTGGTTGTGAACCTTGAGTGACGCGACTTCACCTGTAATGATCTAGCAAATTGGGAGTGGGACTACGATACCCATTTTCGAACATAATCTTCCATTTATAACACAAAAAGAAGCGATAAATTTCAGTTGTTTAGGTAAGATTTAACAATAATATAAGAATAAAATCGAATCCAGCTTCAGCCTCTCAAATTTTCGATATTTCTTTTCGTTTCCCATCAAACGAATGGCATCTTCTTTTGGAAATCCTAGCCATCATGAGCAATAGATTATGAGCAATAAGTAACTCAACTGAGAGCAAGGGTTCCTCGACCATAATGTCGTGGGTTTCAAGGGTAAAGTAATCAAAATTAATTAGCTAATCATTAATTGCTGAGAAAAAATCTGGCAGAGTTTTGGACGGTTAATGAATAAACTTGATGTTTATCGGAAATCTCATCCGTTCATGGGACCTACTTGGATAGGATTTTACGGGAACAACACGAAACGCGTGATATTAGACCGCACAATCCCCTTTTAGATTACCTCAAAAAAGCAAATGGTGGAACCGAAGAGACTTTTGATGTCCCATTTCATTCCAAATGTCATTCTACCCCAGCTGAGATATGCTCACGATATGTACGCACTAAAGTTTTTTTCCCCATCCCATTGTTTATGCATGTTTTTACATTTTTCATAGTTATTGATGATCAGTTTTTTTTTCCTTTTTTAGCGAGGGAGGGCCCTTTTTGATTAATTAGAGAATGAAAGTTTTTCTATGTTTTGTGCTTTTATTGATACGTGCCACAGGCTGATGCCCGGCAACCTCCACCTGCTACTAGATCGCCAGCCCCTAGGCAAGGGCCGTGAAACCCTTGCTGGCCGGGGGTGAGAGTCGTGGCCCTTGCCATATTTAAAAAGAAGATGCAAAAACCGTTTATGATAGCCACTGTCGGCGCTGACTGAACCACCACGTTAGTAATTTCCGGTCAATATTAGCAAATAGTTAAAGGTCTAGGATGAAATTGGCCTAATTAAAAAGTTTAGGACTAAATCGATTGCCATACAATAGATTTAGGACTTTTTGAAAAATTCTCCCTTGAATTTACCTACGCTCTGTCATCCTCGTTAGCCAAACATAGCTTGACGAGAACGGTAGAGCTTTGATTGAACCAGATCTAATTTGTCGAGAATAGAAGCCTTCCCTTTTTTGCCCGTCTCCATCGAAGACGATTACAAAACTCTCGACAGATTCCGCCGTCGTCGATGGATCTCTTCCCATTGCCTCCCCACCATTGCATAATGCATAGGGTAGCGACAACTAAAAGAGAGAGACGTAATGATGACTTGGATATGGAGGAATCTATGGTGAACTACCACAGTAATGGCGGTGGAGGCCGCAACAGCTGGGCGACGTGACTCAGTGGTTGAGGGCACCGATGATTTATATGATTAGAGTCTTAGGTGAGGGAACACTAGTGCATTGCTTGTTAAGAATTTCCTATGTAGCTTAGTATATGTTCAACCACAAGCGACAACCACATGTCCAGATAGCAGCATTACTAATGTTGTAGGACAAGAGTTAAACCTTTCCTTTTGTTTCTCTCATGACCAGTTTAGATGAGCGTTCTAAGAGTATGCTTATAGCTAGCAAATGCGTTCCCTTTCCCATCGAGCTCTCGAGGAGCACCAGTATGCCCTTTCCTTTTATTAAAGAATTGTAGCGCCGGAATATGGTGTATAAAGGACATGCAGCAGTGCAGGTAGAAACCTAACAAAAGGAAGCGGGGATCAAAAGTTTTTGGAAGGGAGAGACTGTACAAATCTATATGAAATTTGACAAATTATGACATATTTAGCGAGTAGTTGCATCAGAAAATGGTTCTGCCAGCACCCTTTCCACCTGTCACATGACAAGTAGATTTAGGGCATAAATCTTGCTAAGATTTCGTGTAGGATGAGTTCAAAATGTTTGTCCAAGATTTTCTTTTCTACGACAAAGAGACGTACATAAATCATCAGTATCAGTAACTCTATTTTAAGTATTACTATAACAGTTTCATGTAACATATAAATATTTGTCCAAATTTAAGTGGAATGGAAGATTCTGATCAACAGATTTGAAATTATACATCTTTGATTATTTGATGTATTATTCGACCAAAAAAAAAGTTATTTGTTTTATGTTGATAGAATATGGATTGAAAATGTTCGATTTACTCCTATATCGCAAGGACCCTCTATAAAATATACTGAAATGAAAGCTACTCAAGGGGCCTACAGCTATACACTTCTGCAAAATGACGATATAAATCACCAAATCCAAAACCCACCTCTAAAAACCCTAAAAACCAGTGAACAGAAGAAGCTCATGCTAAAAAATAAAAAATAAATTTAAAAAAAAAAACGCACTCTTTCTATATAAAACCACACCAGCCATCCTCCCTTTCTCATTCCCATCCCAATTTCCTGCGTATTATAGACTTTCGCCTTCGCTTTTTCTCCCTGCCTCTCATCTCCGCAGCTCATACCATCCCATCTCATCATTTGATCTCAAAGACGAGAGAAAGAGGGAAAGAATTTGAACAAGGAAAAGAAAATCAAGAGGGAAAGAAATGGAAGCTGCGACTGCGAGAGGCCACCCGACGACTATGGCGACGACCACGCCGTCGCCGGCGGCCGCGCAAAGGTCGCCGTGGCATTCTCCGGTGCCGTACCTCTTCGGGGGCCTGGCGGCGATGCTGGGTCTCATCGCTTTCGCGCTTCTCATCCTTGCATGTTCCTACTGGAAGCTCTCGGGTTACTTGGAAGGCAACGGCGAGGGAGGAGACAGAGACATTGAGGCCGGCGAGGCCAAGAACGACGAGGATGACGAGACGAAGAAGAAGAAAGAGGCGGCTTTTGAAGAGAAGATACTGGTGATAATGGCGGGTCAGGTGAAGCCGACCTTCTTGGCCACGCCCGTGGCTAGTAGTGCCAGCACGAGCAGGTCGTCGTCTTTCGGCGACAACTCCAACACGACCACCAGCAGTTGCAGCTGCAACGACTGTGACAATAACAAGAGTGAGAGATTGGAGGCTGAGGCTGAGATGGTGAAGCAGGGGACGCAAGAAACCCCACATCACACCACTTAAACTATTGATCTCTCTCTCTCTCTCTCTCTCTCTCTCTCTCTCTCTGTGAGAGAGATGATTTGAGAAAGGCGTATCTTGTTTTACTTTTTCGCTTTTTTGGGTTTCAACCCATTTTCTTGTGGGTTCTTTCTTGATCCTCGGCCTTGTTTCGGTTTCTCTTTTCAAATTCGGGAAATGTAAATACTCACAAGAGATTTGAAGAATGAAAGAACTCACTATTAGTCGTTCTCTAGCTAGAGTCCTGAACACAGATCCTTGTCCCCCCACATTTTTTTGATAAGATCATAATTTCCCATCAAAGAAATTGCCAAATATCTACGGGAATGGTTTTCCAGATAGTTTCCTTTTCTTTCGCGCTATGAAAGAAGAAATTTCTAACAAAAATTGGATATTACAGTGAGCCAGGTAGGATCTGCGAGTGAAGGTGAAGATGCGGTGCATCAATAGAGTTCTTTTGAGAGAGAGAGAGAGAGAGAGAGAGAGAGAGAGAGAGAGAGAGAGAGAGAGAGAGAAGGTGGTCACACGTGTAAGGCCATGGAGGTGGAAATAGGTGGCGTTGCGTTGGTGTAGGCGTGGCTGATGTGGCGAGGTGAAACTGCTTGTGCCTTAGCTCACGGTTTTCTCCTCTTCTTCGGTCGTCGCTTAAATTCTGCGTTTCTGTTGACGTGGAGAGTTTTGGGGTTTTCTCGTGAAGTCACGTTTGTTCTCCGCGTCTTTTTCTTTTCTCCTGCTTTTCCGCAACAGTTCTTTGAGCCTGATCTGAAAGTAACTTCGCCCTCTCTCTCTCTCTCTCTCTCTCTCTCTCTCTCTCTCTCTCTCTCTGTGCAGCAACGACACTTCGCTGTTCATGGCGTTTTCTGAGACTCTTTCCGAAATTCAGTCTGTGACCCCCTCTATCGTCCTCCTTTACGTCTCCGCCAATGTACAGTTGCTTCCATTTAATTCTTATCCGGCTCTTTTCTAGCAAGAAATTGAGAGTCGTGTCTCGAGCTCTCTTCATTAGTTCGTCCCGAATTGAGTGCCTTATAAGAAATGGGTGGCTTACGATGTGAGCAAGGGTCTTCGATTCTTGCATGCACACGGCGTCTATGAGCTCGGGGCATATCATTTATTGGATCATGTAAGAATTTTTCGGCTACTTTGCCTTATTAACTTCACATACATATGCTTTCTGCATCCTATATGATTCGTCAACTCCACTAACATGACCTAATTTTCGCAAGGTTAATCTTGCTTCTCTATTCATCAAATCCTAGTCCACATTTTTCCTGCACAAAACACTCCTTAAAGGGAATAGTTCACGTGGTAAGAACGAGGTAACCACCAATTATCTTATTATGTGAAAGTTAAGGATATCATCGCATCGATATTAGGTGAAGGATTGTCTTAAAGTTTGCATCACGAAAGAAGATAGTTAACAGAATCCTGTATTTTTATTTATAGGAGGAAAACTTATTGACACCTATATCTCTTATAACTTAGCCAAACATATACAAGCCAGAGGACTAACTGTACAAAAAAAGAAAAATCCATGTGCTTCTTGTTTCAAGTACACATCAAAATCCATTTAGCTCTTCGTACTTTCAATTTTGGAACGTTTTCTATCTAGCTCACCAGTCACAACCGTGGCCTAAAATAAATCAAATTAAGCATTAGTCTAATGACACCTAATCCCACCCTTTAATTAACCAAATATTTCATTTTGCTCAGTGCTATTACTCTGCTGCTGACGCGTGCACACAAGACATATACTAGAGGGGATGCGATGTTCGTCACTAGCGGAACACTCGAAGGTGCTAAGCTAAGTGTTCCTATCTTAGTGGCTTGCATTGAAAATCCATGCGATCGAACAATGATTGGACAGCTTTTCTCATAGTGATATAATAAGTAAGCCACCGAAGGATATACATGATTAGGTTTCGGGAAAGATTTCTTCCGTTCCTACTATATTCCGAGGGGCTCCATCCATTTGCATATCATGTCCTTGGAGCAGTAACTCCCATACAATCTTCGATACTTTAGTGTTTAAATAGCATACTATCCGTAATTTTTGCTAATCCCCCTGCATATAATTTGATCTTCTCTCGCAGTTATTGCGTCCTGAGAATTAGTTAAAAGAAGAATGGGGAAAAAGTCGAATATAAAAGAAGGTGCTTTATTCCAACTTTAGGAGCAAAGGCAGAGGATGCGGCAGCTAGAGAGTGTGTTTTCTTTCCCATCATTCTTTGCATGACTTCATATACTTATTCCCAAGTGAAATGGGTTAAGACTGGCTAAGCCGTGAACGTCCCAACATGGGAACATAGTACAGGAACACAGTGAACCACTATGTAATGCTTGTACGAGACTCAGAAGAATGGAGTCCATTATCCTTGTTCTTGTCTGCTTTCGAGAAATAAAAGTAAAAAAAGCGCACGAATGCATGCCAAGTGTGCGCGGTCTATGCTTTCTCCTCTTCTTTTTTAAGCGTCAAAAGCTTCGTTTCTAGTATTTTCCGAAGAACAAAATAGATGCTCATTGTCCAGGTTCAATCCCATCATCATACCTCAACACCAAGAACTAGTGGCTCCTATCCTAGTATCCTATATATATCATTATGAATATGTTTTTTGAGCATTAGAAAGATTCTTGCTATAAGCCCAGGGACATACAAACAAGCTAGCAGTTGGTTTACTAACACTAAGCAATGAAGATTTGATTATCTGTTATATGTAGGTTTATTTTGCATGTGTCATGCAGTACGATAATGGGTTTACTGCTTTCAATGGATCTTATATGAATAATCTAATTTATCGGCTTTTTCCTACCACATCTCCGCTGGACTGGAGTGGCGAAGCAATGTGTTTTAATGATTACATGAGGTCTCAGTCAGCACCGATACATTTATTTCATTTCGAAAGTAAATGCTTCATATATTATGGGAAAATTGTAAAAAAAGTTATAAACTTATTGCGTTTTTACCAATTCAATTATAAACCTTTCAATTTTGTCAATTGAGTATTAAAAATTTTCATTTCTTGTCAATTGAGTCCATCAGGCGAATTTTGGCTGAAAATCGCTAACGTGGATGCTGGCTGATTTACGTGGCACTGATGTGGATAATTTTTAATAATATCTTTTAAATTTTATTTTATTTTTCTTTATTTCTTTTTTTTTCCTCCCCTTCTTCCTCCTCGAACCGCCCACCGAGCCTCGGCAACCGGCCAGAGGCAAGAGCCGTCGAGGTTGACCTCGCTAGCCTCAGCCGAGCCTTGCCCAACCATGGCGAGGCTATCTGGCAAGATCAAGCGTTGCCAGGGGCAGGTGGGGGCGAGGCTTGCTCGAGGCTGAGGCCCAACGACTGGCTGGAGGAGGAAGAAGGGGAGGGAAAAAAATAGAAAATCAAAATCAAAATAAAAAATAAAAAAATATTAAAATATTTTTTAAAATTGTTCACATCAGTGCCGCGTAGGCTGGCTTCCATGTCAGCGATTTCCGGTCAAAATTAGTTGGAAGGACTCAATTGGCAAAAAGAAATATTTATTACTTAATTGACAAAATTAAAAGATTTATAACTGAATTGGTAAAATTGCAATAAGTTTAAGACTTTTTCGGACAATTTTCCCCCTATATTACCGACCAAAAAGAAAAGAGTAAAAGAGAGACTGCCCTCTCGTAAATCAATGGGTCATATAACATAATGTGAGTTCCCTATCTGCACGGCAACATAATTCCGAGGGACCCGAAACTTTGTTAACTTTTGGCCACGTTTTGGACAATAAAATCTGACAATATAATGTCGCCAACAGATGCCAGGAGTGTCTTCCCGTCTTGTTCCCCGTACGAGGCCAATTCATTTATTATCCTTTTTGTTTTCTGGCGTAGGTTTGTAAGAGGTAGACATGGCCACGGGCCGGAACCGGCCCGGGTCAAACCCGGGACCGGCCCGTTGACCGGGCTCGCGGTTCGGAACAGCCGGTTCCGGGCCCAGTTCCAAAAAAAAATGTACATTTTGATTGCAATGTACATTTTGATTACATTTTATATTGAATAATTCATTATTTCATAATTTGATAATTCATTATTTTTTATTTCATAATTTATTTTTTTAATTTTTACCGGCCGGTTCCAAACCGTGGCCATGTCTAGTAAGAGATGTCCAGCTAGGTGCCTTTTAGGGCTAGATGAAACTTCGCTTTCCAAATTAGGCTCCTGTGTTTTTTACCAAACCCTACAAGGCATTTCAAACTACTACCCTCACCTTTTCAGACCGGCAAAGTTTGAAAGGCAAAAGACTCTTCGCAGTAAGTTTCGTGGAAGGGGCACGAGTAAGAGTAGATTAACGGTACGATGGTTCGATTTGAAACATGTATTGATGGTCCTAAAATATTGAGTTTTTCTTATCATATTGAGACTGGATAATAGAGATATTGATTCCACAAAATATTTACTCTATCATGTGCTTAATTGAAAGTTATCCATGCTATGCGATAAGATTTCTTTAGATCTTACGGCGCAAGTATCATTGGAGAGCTGGTGTAGTTGGTGGGAAGTGATATTCTCTACTTGTATTGTACAATTGGAGTCTCTTGTTTCTTCTTCTTCTTCTTCTTGGTATGGGCCTAACCTCGCATATGTATGTCGGAAAAGAATACGTGCGGACCAAAGTGATTCGTGCTGATTGGGAGCAGCTAACTCATAATGTAAGCTGATCAAATTGTCAAGTTATAATTGCTGGTGGAGAAAGAAACGACAAGCGTGCACATATATGCTGTCCCTATTCTCAAGAGCATGAGCGACCTGTGATGGAATTCAAACCTAAAACAGGGAACCCACCATCATCACGGGCTGAGAGAAAACCTACGACTTTCTCTAGTCATTTGCAACTTTTATGTGCGTATGAATGCCTGTTTGTGGTCAATCTTCTCACGGAAGATAAATTGCGCTTGAAGTTGGTATAACAGAAGCAACCAATAGCGTCAGCATCAGACAATTCTCTCTTCTCTCTGTAGTTCCTTAGAGCTACAGGACATGCATGCACTCACTAGCTGATCACTCATTTCGGTCTGCCCTACGGAGAGAAATTGATCAAGGACTTCATATACACCTCATGAATCATAAAGACCCTGATCAAACCTAGTGCTTTGACGATGTCAAAGTACTAACTCTCTGAATCGAGACGTTTCATGGCTTCAATCAGATTTGTTGTGGCAGATCTGAACATCTACGTTTTTTTTTTTCGGATGGATAAAGCTCCGCCAGGCCTAAAAGATGTAGCCTACTAACCTCATGAACAAGGAAAATTTGAGTCGAAACCAGAATGAGTATCTTAACCATAAGATTGCTCGAATTGGGTGGTGGACACAAAAGGAGATTCGCGCAACCAGATCAAGGGGTTGTGCCGGCTATTGCTTTGTCGAATGCTTACTTCATGTCAATCATTATCAGTAGATTTGCCACCCTTCGGCAATATAAATCATACTAATCCATGGTAGGGTTGTGCTATGGCATGGTCGTGTCATGTATGCATAGAGTCAGAGCCGCACTTTCTCTTCACTAGACTAGCTTGGAAAATCAGGGTCGCATGACGCATAGTAGTTCCAAGTGTATTAAAATGCATGCCTACAAAGTGACGATGCTAAGTGATATTGGCAGACTACAGATGAACATTTAAGTGATCGGGGTCGACTCGTTCTGAACACGCGCGGAGAGTCGGCCGCATCATTTTGTGTACCGATAAGTCATAATTTGTATACCTAACTTATCCGATAGGGTTTCACATGTATAGCTAGAGTAGAGATGGCTGCAACATTGTCCATGCGGACGATCTTGTAGGAATAATTGATCTTTTTTTTTTTTTGGAGTTTTTGACAATGCGAGTCCCATTTGCTTGGGCGGGATCAAACGTGCCATTGGGGATCGCAAGCCCAAACCAAGCCCCGAACGCCTTCAGATGGGATATCTTCATATGCTTTGTGCTTCTATGGTGAGCTTTGGAACAAGAGATTTTAGGCCCAAACAAGAAAGATGATGGGCCCAATTTATGCGGGAGACAATTTTGGTCCCAGCTTTCAAGTGTCACATATGAAAGGTGCTTACTTTCACTCGGACGACGATTTTCGCCCCAACTTTCAAGTGTCGAATAAACAGGAATCTAATTTCATCCAACCGTCTTTTAGCCATCAATAGAACTTTACGTCAAAACTTGCGTATGTGGCATCAGATGTGGTGAACGGATTTTTCATTTCTTTTTTTTTGGTTGAAGTGGCAAACGAATGTTAACATGGTAAATGATGAATATCGCGTAAGCAGACGAGGCTACCATAAACAATCAAAACCGTGTCATTTTCATGCCAAATATTAGAGCTTTGAATTAGATTGAGGAGGAGGATACGTGCATTGGCGCTTGGGGTTCTTCACAAAATCAGAGCACATTCACCGAATATCCCCTTAATTTCCCCACTTTCAATATGATTTTGTGACAAACCCAAACCCTAAATCCCAGTTTGTGTGACTCTCTTTCTCTCTCTCGATCAATCTTGAAACCCCGTCAGCTCATAAACAACGTTGTTTTCACATGTTTAGTAATGTCATTTACCGGGACTTTCAAGTTATCCTCGATTCATTTTTGAAACGGCATTATTTTGATTGTTTATTAAGGGCACGTATGCACATCTATTGACGACGTTCGCCTCGCCACGTCAATTCATTCGCCTTTGCCACCTCGGATGTTACGTAGGCATGATCTAACGAAATTCTAACGGTTGCCAAAATTATCTCTATAGGTTAATATTAACGTCTTTTTACGCGACATTCGAACGTGCAGGCTACAAGGGTCTTCCGAACGAAACTTGATGGCTTTCTCGTGGTGCCAAAGTTATCTCGAGTGTGAAAGTTGGTGCCTTTCCTTGTCAAACTTCCACAAAACATGTTGACCGAATCATAGAATCATATCTCGCACGAAAAACAAGAGATCCCGAACGAGAGAGAGAGAGAGAAAGAGAGAGCGATTGAAATGAACTTTAATGGCGAACGATGGTGTCGTGCGATCTCTTCCCAGTCCTCTAGGAGAACCAGAATTACGACATGCAAAAGAAGGAACTTCCAAAGGATCGTTTACGCATGCAGCGTTACTTTTTACTAGGGTGCCACAACCGAACCGAAAAATCGAATCGAGATACGAACCGAACCGAAAATTTCGTGCATTTCGGTTCGATTTCGATTTCGGTTCGGATCATCAAAATAAATCAATTTTTCTTTTCGGTTCGATTTGTTTCGGTTTGGTTCGGATCGGTTTGGATCGAACCGAACTAAAATAAACGCTTCGGTTTAGGGCTATTTTGCCCTCTCTCTCCCCTTCTCTCTCCTCTCTTCTCTCTCTCTCTACTTAATGAACTTGAAACCGAAAACTGATCCGAACCAAACCGAACCAAACCGAATCAAATCGATTTTTTGGTTTGGTTCCAATTCGGTTCGGTTTGATTTTCTTGAAAAACCGAACCGAACCGAACCATTTACACCCTTACTTTTTACATAGCGCAGCCTGCGACCGGCCATGACAGCTTAAAAAACCAATTCCCAAAGAAGGAAGGGAAAACTTCATAAAAATCAGAACCACCACTCGAGAACAACACCAAACAAGACTCCCACAGCAAAGAAAGAAGCCGCCTCTGACCAGCTCCGGAGAAGACAACATGCCTCGGAAAGAGCAGATTTCAGACAGAGTCACGACCTGTGCTGCGCTGTGACCACTCGAAACTGCACTCTCGGACACGGCTTTCCTTTCCTTTGTTTCCCTTCGCCCCCCCGTCATTATTACCATTCTTTAGTCGCCATGATTCCCCACCTCCTTTTCCTCTTTCCTTCTTTCTGCTAGTGAGCAGTAGCAGTCAGGGGGAGATGGAGATGAGAGCAAAGGACCACTTTTGGACATGTGGAGCCCGCGGGGCATGGGTGTGGGACGGGCCCTTCTCCCACGTGAAGCCCACGAGGTATGGCCTGCCCCTCCCCCGCCCCTCCCCTCTCCTGATAGCTACTCCTCCTCCCCTCCCCACTTGCATATCCCGACGTTTCTCCTCTTTTTCTCCTCGCACCATATTAAAAGATTCTCTCTTTCAACATCAAAAGCTCATTATTGTTCCTATAATCTTCTTCTCTTATTAAGGAAAAATTAAAGGCGAGCATGAGATTTTATGGGATCACGGTCAATTATTTTAAAAGTTTTAAGCTGTTAGATGAGAGGTTGACATATTTAATTGGGAGGCAAATGGAGTTTGGAAAGATTTGAACTCGGGATTTTGAGATTTTGTGGGACCACAGCCAATTATTTTAAAAGTTTAAGGCGTTAGATGGATGCGTGGTTTAATATTTAATTGTTCTAACAGTGAGCAAGTGTTGACTTCGATGCCCACATCGGAAAAGCCCCTCTTCTTCTGTCTAATATCTCCATTGGCAAGTATTAGGATACGGGCAAGTCGCGGTTGATTTAGTTATGACACGACCGATGCCTTTCAGAACACTCGATTAGACAATTATTGATCTCCTGAATGTCGTTTATGGATTTCGTTTTGTCCGCGACCAATCAGCACGATAAAAAGCTCTAGACATGATTGGTGAGAGACGAGAGGGCATTGACGAACGACCAGGATTAGAAAGTCTTTTTGGAATACCTGTCACGACTGTTAGCGCATGACAGAGATACGCTTAGAATGCTCCGGTCGGATATCAGGTTGGCCGATTCTACTCTAAGGCTTCGTTTGTTTCCCGGAAAGTGAACGATTTGGAAAACATTTTTCATAAAAACGATCGGTTATATCGCTTGAAATAATTAGTCAATTGAAAATATTTTCATTATCGACAACAATCTAAGTCGAAACAATTTCGCGAACGATGAAAAATATTTTTTTATTTATTTATTCATTCATTTTTGTAAGCGATAAAAACGGAAATTAAATGTCATTTTTATGATTTTACATGGAGTGGATGACTTGAGATGGTTTTGACCTTTGACTGGCTTTTACACCAAGAAGGACATCTATATACTCTTTGGTTAAGTGCTGTATTGATAATGTAACAGCCCGTCTAGGTAGACAATCAACTTTCGATGATTAATGTCTTTGAGGATATGGAAAAAAAATCTGAACAAATGAGCATATAAAAGAATGCACGACAAACCAGGGATTTTAGGTGTCCAAAATGGTATCTTTCATGTGAGTAGTCTATGCTTTCCAACTGATTCTAATTAATGACTTTCCTTTGCTGGTCACGTTTACTTATCCATTCAACAAAAGCAAAAGGAATTATGGAAAAAATCATGCGCGAATATACATGCGCAAGTGTATACATTGTGAAAGTTTCGGGATGTTACGAGGCAACGAAAAAGATCATAGTGCGCTCCAAGTATGATTTGAATTAAGCAAAAAATAAAAACAAAAAACAAAAAACAGAAACCTATTCAAACACTTTCGTTTTGAACCGAAAGAAAAGGTGTCGCTAACTAATTTATATATGTTCTCATTTAACCATTCATGCGCCAATATTTTCACTGATTTTTTCATCTTTCTGCATCAGGTGAAGATTTTGCACTACGCGACTAACGCGGCTATCTACCTTAGAAAATCCCTTTTTCACTGAAATCCAACTCCAGTCAGCGGCATTTTCAGAAACCTAAAATGGGTAAGGTCTTCATGACTGTGCTGGTGCCAATCATCATTTTACCCCACAAACGAAAGAAGGTCAATAAAAAATAAAAATGGAAGCTTCACATCCAAGACTTCTTGATTCCCACTTTAAAAGAAAGTTGAAGTTCCTGAAGAAGTCTCCATCCTCAAAACATATTGCAAATGGTAACTCCTACAAATTTTAGACGCCAATCCTCCCCATTTCCATCTCTCAGCCCTTTCTCCTCAATCATTTGACAAAAAGAAGCGTTGCCTTTATTATCAAAAGCAGAAAACACGGAAGAAGAAAAGAATAATAATAGTAATAAATTGTGACTTCTGGGTTTTGGGCAAGATGGAAAGCAGACATGATTGTGGTCAAAGTCTTTGCTTTTCTTGAAGTGGGAACGTGAACTCCCCCACCTGTCAGTACTGGAAAGATCCAGAACAGAACAGAGGGCGGGAGGGACAAGACTACCCCCGTGCTCCAACGCTCATAAACCTTTTTGACTTCATTGTTTTTTACATTAGGTTGTTTCATCGCAATCTCTTCAACGGTGTGTTGCAATTATTTTGACAATGACAAGTTAAATAATGGTGTTGCCACGGGCATCCGTCAGCCAATGGATGCGTCGAAACAGATTCGCGGCCATTCCCGAATCAAGAAACGCAACGAGGATCACGCTTATCCCTCAGAAAAGAGGAGGAGAAAGAAAGCTCGACAAGGAAAAGGTTCGACTTTTTAGATACGACCAAACCAAAGATAACAAGAAAAGTTAAAAATCTACACGAGCCTGAAAGTGAAAAGCAAATGGGCTTTCTTCTTCCTTTGAGCTGAAAGGAAATCTTGTTCAGATACAACAGCTCAGAATCAGGAATCAGGGAGAAAAAGCCGATTCAGCCCATCAAAAACTTCCAGTATTGCACAATATATGATGACGAAGACAGACACAAGCAAGCAAGTACAAGCTACATTGGCACATTTAGTGGAACAAAAGATCTGCTAAAACCACTAGCTATTTAGCTCCAGGCGTTGATTTAATCAAAATGACGGGACGACCCCGTATCGCGAATCGGACATGAATGCCGCAGGGGCGGTCCCGTAGATGTTGTCCACTTCCGATTCGATCTCCGTTCGCTTGGCGAAGCGGCCCTTGATTCTCGGCCGGGTCTCGGCGTAGGCCTTCCTCGAGGCGTACCGGATCGTCTTCTCGAACTTCCGGTTCTTCCTCTTCTCTCTGTACCTCAGTACCCTAGCCTTGCGGTCCATCCCGCACATCGTAGTCGCTTGATTCGCCGTCGTGGTAGTGGCTGCCGAGTTTGTCATGCTCGGGTCGGTGCTGTTCCCGCTCATGCTTTGGACGAAAGGGTACGAGATATCGGACATGGAGTTCCCTTCTGGTACGACTCCGACATCAAGTGAAGATGATGACACCTGAAATAATATGTACACGGGAATTTAATATCCAATCTGAGCAACATGACACCAGTTCTTACGGATTTCGTTACAAGAACGACTGATCAATCCATTACACACCTTCAAGTAATGTAATCTATCTAGTACCTTCAATTGTACGATCAGGGTTGAAAGTGGACGACCAAATATTATATACAAGACATACTGAAACTATGGAATTTATGTTTTCTTAACATGAATTCTTATGTTAGATTATCCCCTAAAGCAATAGTTTCATTGGATTATTGGCAAATATGTGCTTAAACAATTGGAATTGAACAAAGATCGAGGGTTGAGGTACTTACGCTATGGCTGAGGTAGCCGAAGGATGTGAGCTTGGATTTGCAGAAATCGATATCGAAGCAATTCTCCGACGAGGGATGAACCACCGGGGCCGGAGCGGGTTTGGTTTGGACCGGCACGACGCTATCGGTGGCCGACCCGTGAAACCTATCCATCGAGTTGTTGTTGCCATACTCAAAATCAAGGAACGTCTCCATGTCGTTGAAGAACACATCTCCACCACCACAACCACCACCACCCGGCGCTACTTTCACATCCATTACTTCCACGATCTTATTAGTACTCACACCGGCGGCGTTCGGGAATAGCCACGAAGCCGCTTCCAACTCCTCATTCTGGCACGCGCCCCCAAATCCTACGCCTCCGCCTCCTCCCCCGCCGCCGCAGCACGTGTCGGGGCCGCCGGCCTTGTTGGGCACGGCGAGGAAGTTGAAGGCGGAGACGGCCTTGGCGATGGACTCGGTGGCGTCGAGGAAGGGCTCCACGGGGACCCGCTCGTGGCGCCGGGCGAGGGGGTTGGCGGAGTGGATGTCGGCGTCGCAGGCCACGCAGAGCGCCGCCGCGTCGGCCTTGCAGGTGACGGCGGCGGGTGCCTGCTCGCAGACCTCGCACACCCACACCCGCTCGTGGCGCGCGGTCGCCGGCTTGCCGGCCCCGTGGACCCGGGAGTCGCAGCCGAGGCAGAAGAAAGCAGCGTCGGCGCGGCAGTACACCGCGGCCGCCGCGGACTTGCACGAGTCGCACAGCTTCGCCGGAACGCTCCAACTTCCCCCGAAACCCATCACCTCACACACAAACACACACAAAGGATCTCGAGCTACACGAGGGGAGCTCTCGCGGCGAAGGAAGTGGGAAGTGGGAAGGAAGAAGCTTTCTCGTGCGACGGGAGGTTGATTTTTCAAAGGGGTGGGGCTGGGACTTGGAGCTGTGCATTCATTTGGAGGTGGGGGAGGGTTCTTGGGATCTTGGGTTATCTATTAGTCTAGTCAGAGAGAGGGGAAGGGGAAGGGGAGGGGAGGGGAGGAAATCTGGGAGCTGACGAGTAAGGTGAGAACACGTGGACGATCCTCGGCCAAGTAAGAGGTTTTGCCCCGCGCATTATTATTGGCGAGTAGTTGTCAAGTGTCTGTGCCGACGTGGGCCCCCGCTCCCGTCCCCATCCCCCTCTGGATGGATGAGATAGAGAGAGAGAGAGAGAGAGGGAGAGAGATAGAGGATCTACTACTTGTAGCGTGGGAGTGACCGTGGGGGATTAATGAGACGAGGCGAGTTGGGAGAACCGTGAGAAATGGATATGACCCGATGCGGTGACGGGTCGGGCGATTTCGGAATGGGGCTCACGCCCCGTGGGCCGTGGTTAGAGGTTAGCGAGATGGATCGCCCGAATGGGGACCGTACTAGACCGACCGATTTAGTTCCGTTCTAGGAAACATCAGTCCGATTTTCAGTTCCTAAAAGTGGAATCGGTTTCCGGGCGGTCCGGTATTTTTTCTAATTTTTTCATATATATATTTACTTTTTAAAATTTTTGAAAAAAAATAGAAAACTTAATCTCTTTTCCCCAATTCCCTCTTGCCTTTATCAATAAGTGATTGGTCCATGGTCCTGGGACTAGCCAGTCCGGTCCCCGGTCCTTTCGGTCCGGTTCCCGATTCTTGTGTTGGATCGAACCGGACCGGGAACCAATCACCCCTACTCGTGTTGGTTCACGAACGGAAAGGGTGTTTTAAGTCTAGTCTTTAGGAGATTTTTTTTTTTGCTTTCGGTCGATTCCACCGCCTCGCCATAGGAAGGGAGGTCGCTCGCTCCTATATAAGGATTTCCTTGACCTATCCGTTTGATGTACATGGACGACGTGCTCCAAGGACGCGTTTCTTATGCCCACACCACTCGCACCCCTCAAATTCCCTTTGTATCTTTGTCTTCCCTGAGAAGTAGGAATAGCCTCCGAAAGATTTATATCCCGGTGATTTCGAGATCCAGATGAGGACCGATGTGAAGCATTTTAAGGACCTGCTTAGGTTCGATGTCGGTTTAAGAAAGGAAAGGAGTTTTAGATAAGCCTTTAAGGTTTTCTTTTTTTCAGTCGATCCACGGCCACAATTTTAGGAGGGGTGGGGGGTTTCGCCGAGCTGGCCAATGCCCTAAAATTCCTAAAAATGAATCTCTATGCTTTTGCCTACAAATACCTAACTATGTCGAAAGTTGTTCCCCCAAGATATTTCGACTTCTTTGAGTTCATGAAGTTGTCGTCTCCCCAGTAAGCATGGAATTTGAGCCACCTTGATTTTCGGGGATTGTCTATTTCCGACGCGTTTTTCGCTGGAAATCGATAAGGAATTGGAATGACGTGACGGTTAATCACGCGAAACTTCCAATTGAGAAATACTATCTGATCGACGACTCGCTTCCATTTTACCATGGTCTTAAAATTCATGTTCTCGACTCTCCCATGCCCTTTGTTTCTGTGTCAAGCGGATCATAAGTAATTCGTTAAGATCGAAAAAATCTCCTATGCCCTTTGCATGTCTAGCGAAAATCGAAGGAATCTAGGCGCGAGGAGTACCCATTCACTCTTGATTTTCGCCATCCGCAACTGCTAACGAGTCCAAACAGAACTTTCAAATCATTGTTTGATCCGATAAAGAACCTGCCATTCAAATGGTACGATCACGAATCCCCTGCACACAGAGACCGGATCCAGGCCCGCCGATCGAGCCGTCCGGTTCGGTCTTCGAAACGGGCGGCTCGCGGTCACGGGATTAGGAGATCCGACACGGGAACCCGGGTTTCGGATCCGATACCGAACCCCAAGTTAGATCAGCCAGGAGGGACCTTGAAATTCAAGGTGTAGTTAGTTCCCGCAAGTACGTCATGCAGTGCGTGAGCCAACAACAGGGAAGAGTGCGTGACCTGATTTTTGTACGTGATTATCCAAAGGGGCGGGACGAGGACATTACCCGTCGCTGTCGCTCGCCCGAATGATTGGTGTTGGCAGACAAGGCGGTCGGCGAACCGTGCCGCGTTTTCTGATACGCACTACCCGATTTGTGTGGCTCCCTTTCGTTGGGGGATATCTTCGGGACAACTGCTCCCAAACTTCGCTGCTCGGGAGGATATAACGACATAGATGATCCTTAAATTTCGACACGGTGTACGTTATCGTTTTTAAATTTTTAATTTATTCGATGTGATTCACGAATTTTTATTTCGATGTGACACAATTTCTAATTTGACCCTGGCTTATATGAAAATATTCGATATTATTCACGGATAAGACGTTGAAATAATCTAGAAACTAAATAAAGTTCAGGGACTATATTGAATAAATTTATAATTCGGGGATGATATTTCTGGGACTATATTCACACAATTTCTGATTGGTGTTGGCAGACAAGGCGGTCGGCGAACCGTGCCGCGTTTTCTGATACGCACTACCCGACTTGTGTGGCTCCCTTTCGTTGGGGGATATCTTCGGGACAACTGCTTCCAAACTTCGCTGCTCGGGAGGATATAATGACATAGATGATCCTTAAATTTCGACACGGTGTACGTTATCGTTTTTAAAATTTTAATTTATTCGATGTGATTCACGAATTTTTATTTCGATGTGACACAATTTTTAATTTGACCCCGGCCTATATGAAAATATTCGATATTATTCACGGATAAGACGTTGAAATAATCTAGAAACTAAATAAAGTTCAGGGACTATATTGAATAAATTTATAATTCGGGGATGATATTACACATGGGCTGAAGTTTATAGACCATATTAAATAATTTAAAAATTGAGAGATCTCGTTACATATTTTAGTCAAAGTTCAAAAATCATTTATCATATTTTGAATAAAATAAAATATTGAGCTGCGGGGATGTGCTTCGGGAAAAGCTGCTTCAGTCTTTTGATTTTTTTTTAAAGTTTGGTGAATTGGGGTTATTGAGGATTGAGGTGTGAGCTGTCCGCTTAGGTGTCGCCCACGTGACACGAGCTCAACCGAAATTGGGCTACGTGGCGATTAAGGTTATTCTTTTTTATTCATGGGAATTTGGGAACATATGAATGCAAATAAATATAATATATATAAATAAGGGAACGTTATGTCTAGTGCAAGAGCCACCTTTTCCTTCCCTCAAAAGGCAAGCGCGTGTCTTGCGTTGTGCGGGTGGAACTTGACTTCAATTGAAGAGAGGTCAATTCAAATTTTTTCAGTTTGAATGAGCGAAATTAGATTAAATTGAGGGGAATTCGTGATTGGGATTGGTCATTCCTCGGATTAGACGGTCGGTTACGCATTAGTTATGGATGGACATGATTGAGTCATCTGAGGCGAAAGAACAAAGTTTTGCGGTTCAACTTAGGGCTGTGTAACCGAACCGGTTCTATTCGAAAACCGGATCGAACAGCCTTGAAAATCGATCCGGTTCTAGGTTTCCATTGGAAAAAGTATGGTTCTCGGTTCCAAGTGAAGAGTCACTTGAGAACTGAACTGATTTAAAACATGTTTTATAAAACCTAAAAACCCTAGCTTTCTTTGACATATTTCTCTCTCTCTCTCTCTTTTTCTCTGTTCTCTCCAACTTCACTCAGACACTTCACGACTCTCTCTCTCTCTCGCTCAGAATTCACCCTCCTCGTCGCTCGCTTGTGGCTCGCCCTTGTTCGAGTGAGGGTCGTTCGAGCCTCGCAATCCTCGTTCGTTCTTGACTCGCCTTTGCTCGCTCCCCCTCATTTATATTTTATTTTGAACCGTTTTTTTTTTGTCATATTATTATGCTGTAAAAATGAAACCAAAAAAAGAAACAATAAAAAAATAGGTTCTCGATTAGCTCCTGAAATCAAATTGGAAAAACATGATAGATTCCAAAGGAAACATGGTAGGTTCTAGATTCCAAAAATTAAGAACCGGTTCTAATATGGTCGGTTCCAAGTACCCACCACAGATCTGATCACCCCTAGTACCACCCATCCAATTGAAAATTTCATTAAGACAAACGTTACTTCCTTATTAATTAGGATCAAATTCCAGTAATTTCCAACTTGGATTGTTTCATGGCCAAAGCAAGTCTAAAATTGAGTCTTGTTTTCTCAATTAATGCCTAATTAATGCATAGAGGATAACCACAATACCATAGAGATTCGGTGTTCGTGCCTCAGCTCCTCGGCACTTGGGTCCGATTTCATGGAGGCTGAGCTCAGTTTCACATAGGCAATGCCCGAGACCCTAGTGCTTGCGATCTGGTTCTCAACTCCAAGGCTCAAGTCCCTAACGCTCAAACCTGGGGACCTTGGTGCTCATGCCTAGATCCCTGATGCTTGGGCTCGAGATCCCGATGCCTGTGCTTAGGTTCCCGGCACTTAGGCCCACGTCCATCTAGCCCAAGCATGGAACAATCTTCTCGATGGGCCCAAGCCAGGCCTCGATGAACTATGCTTGGGCACTGGGTATCTAGACTCAATCACCGAGGTCCCAAGCTCGACCTCTATGAATCGAGGTCCGAGTGTCGGGGATTCGGGCTGGGGCACCGGGGTTATGAGCCCGACCTCGATGGACCCGAGTCCAAGCGTTGGGGATCTGGGCACGGGCATTGAGGTCTCAAGCCTGACCTTCTTGGACCTAGGCCCTGTCTCAACGAATGCGGACTAGCGTCGAGGTCCGGAGCCAGTGCCTGTGCCCGGTTCCCTGGCTGCTCATGCCGAAATCACTAACGTCCGAATAATGCATGTCTATTTAGAAAAATAAAAGTAATTTTCCTTTCCAAACGACGGAAAAGAAATTTCAATTCATTTTCAAATTTCAGCCGAACACCGGCAAATATTA